GGACACGGTGTGTTATAAGGACGGGGTTTATTGTCTGTATTTGTTTACAGGGGACACGGTGTGTTATAAGGATGGGGTTTATTGGATCCTAGGCCGCAGTTCTGTCGATATCATTAAGAGTGGAGGACACAAGATCAGTGCCCTGGATGTTGAGCGCCACCTTCTGGGACATCCGCATATTTCAGGTTTGAATTTTCAGTATAAAATATGAATCTGATTTTCATTGCAGCTGTCTTTGCTATTTGATATTTTTCACTTGCTTACCCATTCCCGTCTATCATTCCAGTGCAGTCAACACCACCACCTGCCTTTGTGCCTCACACACATCCACATCCCCTCAATGTCTCTCTCACTCCCACTTTGTTTCTCTCTCAAAGGCCTTTTCACTCTCTCTAACACATGCATTCACACCTCTTGCACTCCACCCACTGTCCCTCTGATGTGGAGATAGACAACTGCACCTTCTCCACCATAACACTCAACATTAGAGTTCCCGAAGGATGCATCCTCAGCCCCATACTGTACTCTCTGTACACCCGCGACTGTACAGCCAAACTCCAAACAAATGTCAACTACGAGTTTGCTGATGACACCACTGTGGTAGGACGGGTATCATGCAACAAATGAGTCAGAATACAGAAAGGAGATAGAGCGTTTGGTGATGTGGTGCAATGATAACAACCTGTCAATGTCGGCAAAACTAAAGAACTGATCATTGACTTAAGAAAGAAAGGCAGAGAATACGCCCCCATCTACATCAACGCAGCGAAGGTTGAGAGCATCAAGAGTGTCAAGTTCCTCGGAGTGACAATAACTAACGACCTGTCCTGGAATTCCCACATCGATGCAACAGTCAAGAAGACACAACAACGCCCCTTCTTCCTCAGGCAGCTCAGGAAATTCAGCATGTTCATAAGGTCCCTCACCAACTTTTACAGATGCACCATTGAAAGCGTACTGTGTTTAACGGCCTGGTATGGCAACTGCTCTGCCCAGGACAGTAAGAAACTACAGAAGGTGATGTGCACAGCCCAGATCATCACGGAAGCCAACCTTCCATCTATTTACATGGCTTCCTGCCGCGGAGAAGTTGCCAACATCAAAGACCAATCCTACCCAGATAATGCTCTCTTACAACCTCACCTGTTGGGCAGAAGATACAGAAGCTTGAACACATCAACAGGTTCAAGGACAGCTTCTTCCCAGCCATTATTAGACAGATGAATGGACTCTCTAACTTCAAATAATGTTGATCTTACTTTGCACGCGTCCTGTGCAGTGTAACCTATGTGCCCTCAATCTGTCAAAGTTTTTTTCACCCTATGATCTGCCTGTACTGCTTGCAAACAAAGCTTTTCACTGTACTTAGGTACATGTGACAATAAATCAAATCAGATGCCTGTGTTGGACTGTGATGGACAAAATCAGAAGTCACACCACACCAGGTTATAACCCAACAGATTTACTTAAAATCACCTTAATAAAAATAAACCTGTTGGACTGTAACCTGGTTCTGACTTTGTCCACATTCTCTCTCTCTCTCTCTCTCAACCCTCTCCCTCTCACCTTCCACATTCTCTGTTCCTCCACATAGTCTCACATTCTCTAACACCTCTCACTCACTCCCCCCAACTCTCTCTCACACCACCCCCTCACACACCCCTCACCCTCCCTCTCACACACCCCTCTCTCATTCTGTGCTTTCTTCCTATCTCTCCCAGTACCCTGCCACTCTGTTCTCACGCACACCACACCCCCTCACTTCATGCTGCCTTCCTCTCTCTCATCACTCCCTCAACACATACAGACTCACACATATGTCCCCCTGCTCTGAAGTAGAATGAGTTGGTTAATGGTGATTTAGAGGAAAGGACTGGGGAGATTTTGCCCTTGTCTTTTTTAATATATTTTCTTCACAGTCCAGTATTTCACTCCTACTTTGCAGCAGAAGCAGCAGTTAATGAGGGACTCGTAAACTACTTTAGTTATATTAAATAGTTGATACAGTTGTGACGGGGCAGCTGAGCCATGTGGAAGAGATGGAGTCTGGGAAGCACCATGTGTCAAGACAAACACAGCTGCAGGAAGTGTGACTGTTTTCAATGTTGAGCACTGGGTTTAAAACTTGAGCAGCAGCAGAAGTCTCTATTGAGCATCCACGAGTCAGGAAACTATGGATAGCATGTACAGGAAGGTGGTCACACCACAATTTAGGGGTCCACAGGTAGATAGGGGATGGGTGACTGTCAGGCAGTCCGAGACAAGCAGCAGGGTAGTGCAGGAGACAAGCTTACTCAAAAATGGGCTTTCCACTTTGGATCCTGCTGAGAGCCCTTCCCATTGATTGCTACCTTGCTGCGCTGGAGAGGGCTCAATGTTCCATTGATCCTGAGAGTGATGACGTCAGGAATTCTCAACTCCTGGCAGGGCCACTTATGGTGGTAAGGTCATAGGGGAGGAACCAGGCAGAGTGCAATCTAAAACAGGTCCTCAAGTGATCCAGGCAGAAGATATTCATGTGATATCAATGGCTGTAATGGTGGAGCAGTAGGGATATTCCCAGTGTCGCGGTTTCCATGCCACTGGAACTGGATCTACCTTCTCTCAAGGGCCGTGTATCCGCTGATGTACAACAGCATCCCCATGTTAGAAGATTAACACGTGAGGTGTCTACCTAGAACAATTCAAACCCCCACATACAACACAAACCTGGCAGCAATCAGTGACAGGTGACCGAGACAGGATTGTGTGATCTGGAAGTCCCTTGCTTTGGACTGCAGTTGTTTCACTTTTGGAATTGGAACAGGAGAGCATTTTGGAAGTTTTCTTCAGAACTGAGCAGCCCTCTTCTGAATCCACTCTGTTCACCCCATACAGGGAATTGGTTAGAAATGAGACCTTACCTGTCGTCTCCATCAACTTGTCCTGAAAATCTGGGCCAAGGAAGAAATCCCTGTCAATCTCTGCGATGCTGCCATCACTACTATCTTCAAGAAAGGACACTTAGTGAAATGAGGAATCTCTTTAGTCTGCATGGCTGGGAAAGTAATCGCCTGAATTCATGCAAGGTGCTTTCTCCCAGTTTCTGAGGAAATCTTTCCTGAAAGCCAACAAAACTGTGGAACTATGGACATGATTTTTTACTGCTCAGCAACTCGGTGAGAAATGCCAGGAACAACACCAACCACTTAAAATGGCCTTCATCAACCTGACCAAGGCTTTGACTCAGTTGCAAAGTGCTATGAAAGACCTTGTCAATGGCTGACTGTCCAGTGAAATTTGTCAATATCCAATATCTCCTCCACAATAAAGTGTTGGAGATGGTCCTCACTGACAGTATTATGACAGAATCTGTTTGGACCTTCAGTATGCAGATGTTAATATAATCTCTGCTGTCTTGGTAGGGAATTGTCAGACCCTGTTTAACTCCTTCGTGGAAGCATACTGAAGAATTGGTCTCAGCTTCAAATGCAGGCTGCAGAGAGAGAAAACACTGGGAGTTGAGTGAAGTGTAGGAGATAAATCTTAATCTTTTCCTGCCTTAAAATCTAGCAAACTGTGGGTAAATGAAATGTAAACATTTAAGGTTGCTTTTCTTTCAGCCCTAAGGAGAGTTAAAACAAGCTTTCATAGTGGTCTAGGATACAGGGAGCAGCTAATCAAGAAAATTGGTTTAATCTGGTTCTCAAAGCAGGGCAAGCTTAAAGTGCTCCCAACACAGAATGCAAGCTGCAGAGTTTGAAACCGTTGGGAACTGAGCTAAGTGTGGGAGATTAGGGAAGTGGAGGGGGAGGCATTGCTGTGTCTTGTTCCAACTATTTCTGAGAAAGACTGCTTTGGGTTCAGAATACTGCTGTACGTCTAACTGCGGGCCTGTGTGAATACTAGTTTTATTGAGGAGGATGACCAGCAACAAGGTAAGGGCAAAGTAAGACCTTTTTTTAAACCTAAGTCTGCTTGTTATTAAAGGGGCAGAGATGGCAGTCAGTGGAGTGGTGTGCTCTTCCGGTCAGATGTGGGAGATCAGGGAGCAGTCGAGTGTCCCTGGTGACTATGTCTACAGGAAGTTTGTCTGGCTGCCACTCCTCTCAGACTGCATGGATTGGTTGGAGCAGCTGTTGGAAGCACTGAGGAGCATAGAGGAGACAGAGAGTGTGATAGATAGTAGCTTCAGGGAGATGGTCACACTGCAGGTTCAGTCAGGTAGATGGGTGTCCACCAGGAGATGTAGGCAATTCTAGAATTCACTCCCTAACAGCATTGTGGGTCGTTCAAGAAGGCAGCTCACCACTACCTTCTCCAGGGTAACTAGGGACAGGCCATAACAGCCAGCAACACCCACATTCCACAAATGAATAAAGAAAAGGTTAGTCTTCATTGCAAGTGAGTTTGAATCCAGGAGAAATGTCTTTCCGCAGTTGTAGAGTGCCTGAGTGAGACCACACTTTTGATTTGATTTATCACTATCACATGAACTGAAGTACAGTGAAAAGTGTTGTTTTACATGCTTTGCAGGCAGATCAGACTGTATAAGTGCATCAGGGTAACAGAACAGAGTGTGTTTGCATAGTTTTGATCTCCTTCTCTAAGGAGGAATATACTTGCCATAGAGAAAGTGCAGTAGAAGTTCACCAGATTAATGTCTGAGATAGTGAGATTATTTTAAGAGAAGAGCTTGCTGAGGCTGGGTCTTTATTCCTAAGAGTTTTGAAGAATGAGGCGTGATCTCATTAGAACTTACAAGATTCTTACAGGGCACGACAGAACGTTTCCCTGGGTTGGTGAATCTTGGGCCGGGGATATAGTCTCAGTGTAAAGGATAGGATGTTCAAGACTGAGATGAGGAGGAATTTCTTTGACAGACACATGAACAAGCAGGGAATAGAGGGCTATGGACCATGTACAGGCAAATGGTAATAGTTTAGTATGGCATCATGGTCAGCAGGGACATGGTGGGCCAAAGGGCATGTACCTGTGCTGTGCTGTCCTATGATGGTGGTGAATCTTTGAAATTCTCTGCTTCAGGGGACTGTACAAGCTCAATTATTGACTAGATTCAAGACAGAAATTGATAGATTTCTGGACACTAATGACTTTAGGGATAAGGAGGCTGTACTGGCAAGTGACACTGAGAAGATGATCAGCCAAGATCTGGAATGGCAGAGCAGTCTTGAGAGGCTGAATAGTCTATTTCTTTTCCTAAACTGTCATTCACACAGTTGCACTTCTCTGCTCTCATTCATCTTCTTTCTTTCTGTACTAGACACAGGCACGCACACAATGAGACCACTTCTCCCCCCACCCCCAAAACCCTGCTATCTCTCTATCACAACCCTGGACCCCACCCCAGCCCAGCCTCCCCCCGCTTCCTCCCTACCTTCGCCTCTCCATTTCCCTCCTCTTCCACTGCCCAGCAGCACCCCCCATCTTATTCTTGCACACTATTTGCCATTGCAGATGTTGCAGTTATTGGTGCCCCTGATATGACCTGGGGACAGAAGGTGGTCGCAGTTGTACAGTTAAAGGAAGGATATTCACTATCCCAGAAGGAGCTGAAGGAATGGGCCAGGTAAGAGGGAGGGATATGAAGATAATCAATTCAGTTCGAGTTCTCATTTAGAGGCTGACGGCCACCTTTCTCTAACGGGAGCTACGATGTTTCCACCAGATTCCTGGCCCCCTGCCACTGGATGCCCATGCAGTGTTTCAGGAATAGGGTGGGGTTTGTGTCTGGGTCGGATGGTCTTTGGCAGGTCAGTGCAGACTGGATGGGTGGAATGGCCCCTTTCTGCACTGTAGGGATTCTATGATTCTTGCCATGAGACCCGGTGGCCCGCTATTGCCAGGCACCCTGGCACATCATTCACTGTCAGACAGATCGGACTCTGTCTTAGGGTCATGTGGCACATCCTAACCCAACAGAGCCATCAAACCAGAAGCCACAGTGAGTTCACATGTGAGTAGTATTAATGTTATCAGAACTGTACTCCTCAACTATTACTGATCAGCGGGCGGGTATGTGTTGTGGTCACTGTAGCTGTGTGAAGGAATGGGGTCGGTGTGCAGGGACAAGCTGCAGGGATGGAGGTCAGTGCGATATAGTTTCAGTGGGGTTAGTGAATGGTACTGAGGTTGTGCTTGTCTCTTATGACTTGAGAGGTGACTGGTTTGTGGGTTGGCTTGACAGATAGTTGTGAGGCTTAAAATCTGCAGCACTGGTTATTGTGGTCACTGATTTGTATTTTGATTACAGGCAGTATTTGGCCACCTACAGTCTCCCCACAGAGTTGATCCTTGTGGAGGAAATACCTCACAACAATATGGGAAAAGTGAACAAGAAAGATCTGCTGAAACGCTTTTATCCCACAACTAGCAAATAGGCCGGATTTCTCCAAGCCACAGTTTCTGCGTCTTGCTATCTCAGCGTCACAACATAGTGAAGATCCAGAACCTTCTCAGATCCCATCTTGGTCTAATCCTCTCCAGTCATCATTGATAGGGAACAAATAACAGAATGGGATCGTTTGGGGGCAGAATGGTTGAACAGAGACTTGGTACCCTTAATGGTATCAGGTGGAGCACTGTCTATTGGTCATCTGTTGGTTGACCAGTTCAAAATTGGGCTGTAGCCTAACTGCCAGGACAAAGACTTTTACCATTAAAAAAGAAATTTGAATCTCTTGTGATTACTCTGATCTCTTTAGTGAGTCTATGTGCAGTGTTTTGTTGTGTTAATTATTTATATGTACTGTTACCATTAATCTTTCTAGAGTATTGCGTATTAACACTCCATTTCATCCAGTGAAGGAGTCGAGGTTTCTTTGCCACATTTTTGATCAAAGCAAATTCATGATGTGACTTCCAGGGAAATAATTTGTAACTAACAAATTTGTAGAGTTTTATTTGAGGATGTCATTAGGGTTCTGAATGAGAATAATTTGGTAAACAAAATCTTCTGGACATTCTGGAAACTCTGAAGAACATGCCTTAATATGAGTATCTCACAAGACAGAGTCCCATAGTCATAATGCGAAATGCTGGCTTAGGAATCGTGCAGCCAGTAAATTCTAGTCTTAGAAGAAAATAAGAGATCGTATCCCATCCAAGGAAGAAGCATACAGATTGGCCAAGAAAAATAGTATGTCTGAGGATTGGGAGCAGTTTAGAATTCAGCAAAGAAGGACCAAGGGATTGGTTAAGGAGGGGAAATACAGTACGAAAGTAAGCTTGCAGGGAACGTAAAGACTGACAGTAAGAGTTTCTATTGGTATATGAAGAAAAAGAGATTGGTAAAGACAAATTTAAATCCCCTACAGACAGAAATGGGGGAATGTATAGTAGGGGACAAAGAAATGGCGGAGCAACTGAATACATTCTTTGGTTCTGTCTTCACAGAAGAGGACACAAATCAGACACCAAAATTGTTGGAGAATGCAAGATTTAGTAAGAGGGAAGAATTGCGGGAAATCAAAAATTAGTAGAGAAATGGTGCTGGGAAAATTGGTGAGATTGAAGACAGATAAATCTCCTGGCCTGATAATCTACGTCCCAGAGTCCTTAAGGAAGAGGCTGTAGAAATAGTGGATGCATTGGTGGTCATCTTCCAAGATTCTATGGACTCTGGAACAGATCCTGCAGATTGGAGGGTAGTGAATGTCACTCCAATATTCAAAAATGGAGGCAGAGAGAAAGCAGAGAATTATAGACTGGTGAACCTAACGTTGGTAGTGGGGAAAATTCTCAAATCCATTATCAAGGACTTTATAGCGGAGAATTTGGAAAGCAATAACAGGATTAGACAGAGTCAGCATGGATTTATGAAGGGGAAATCATTCTTGACAAATCTGTTGGCATTCTGTGAAGTAGTAACTAGTAGAGATGAAAAGGGGGAGCCAGTTGATAAGGTAGAAGGTGTTTGACAAAGTCCCACATAAGAGATTATTGTGCAAGACTAAAGCACATGGGACTGGGGGGGAAGTGTATTGAGTTGGATTGAAAACTGTGGGCAGAGAGGAAACAAAGAATGGGAATTAATGGGTCCTTACCAAATTGGCAGGCAGTAACTAGTGGGGTACCACAGGGATCGGTGCTGAGACCCAGCTATTCACAATATAACGATTTGGATGAGGGAACAAAATGTAACATCTCCAAGTTTGCAGATGTTACCAAGTTGGGTGGGAGGGTGAACGGTGACGAGGATGCAGACATCTTTCAGCATGATCTGGACAGGTAGGTTGGGTGAGTGAGCAAATTGATGGCAGATGCAATATAATTTAGATAAATGTGAGGCTATTCACTTTGGAAGCAAAAGCAAGAAGGCAGATTACTACCTGAACGGCTGTAAATTGGGAGAGGGGAGTGTGCAGTGGGACCTGGGTGTCCTTGTGCACCAGTCGCTGAAGGTAAGCATGCAGGTACAGCAGGCGGTAAAGAAGGTAAATGGTATGTTGGCCTTCACTGCGAGAGGTTTTGAGTACAGGAGCAGGGATGTGTTGTTGCAGATTATACAGGGCCTTGGTGAGACCACACCTGGAATATTGTGCAGTTTTGGTCACCTCTTCTGAGGAAGGATGTTCTTGCTCGAGGGAGTGCAGCGAAGGTTTACCAGGCTGATTCCGGGGATGGCGGGACTGACATGTGAGGAGAGATTGACTAAGTTGGGATTGTTTTTGCTGGAGTTCAGATGGGGTGGCGGGGGTGTGGATCTCAGAGAGACTTATAAAATTCTAACAGGACTGGACAGGGTAGATGCAGTGAGGGTGTTCCCGATAGTGGGTGTGCCCAGAACCAGGGATCACAGTCTGAGGGTTCGGGGTAGACCATTTCGGACGGAGATGAGGAGACATTTCTTCACCCAAAGAGTGGTGAGCCTGTGGAATGCATTACCACAGGAAGTAGTTGATGCCAAAACATTGAATGTATTCAAGAGGTGACTGGATATAGCACTTGGGACGAATAGGAACAAAGGTTATGGGGAGGAAACAGGATTAGACTATTGAGTTGGACGATCAGCCATGATCGTGATGAATGGTGGAGCAGGCTCGAAGGGCTGAATGGCCTCCTCCTGCTCCTATCCTCTGTGTTTCTACGTGAACAGATGCAGTTTGGCATGGAGATCTGTGATGTCCCACAGGGCCTGGTCCATGGACCATAGTCACCTACTGTATACAGCATTTATCCATGACCTGGCGACTGCTGTTCAGAGTATGGGTGTAAATTTTTTTCTCTTATTTGTGGGATTTGGGTGTCGCTGGCTGGCCAGCATTTCTTGCCCATCCCTAGTAGCCCTTGAGAAGGTGGTGAGCTGGAAGGAAGGAAGCAGCTGAAGATGGTTGGGTCCAGAACACTACCCTGAGAAACTCCTGTAGAGATGTTCTGGAGCTGCGATGATTGACTTCCATCAGCCACGACAATCTTCCTATGTGTCAGGTATGTCTTTAGCCACTGGAGAGTTTGCCCCTGATACCCATTTTTTCCCCAGTTTTGCTAGGGCTTCTTGATGTCAGGGGCTGTCACTCTCACCTCATCTCTGGAATTCAGCTCCTTTGTCCATGTTTGAACCAAAAATATCCCCTTTGTCCTCCACCTGTTTTTGTTTTCTCTCAAACATGGATAGGGTGATAGGCCAAGATCTTTTTTCTTCCCAGGGTAGGGGAATCCAGAACTAGAGAGCATAGGTTTAAAGTGAGATGGGAAAGATATAAAACGGACCTAAGGGTCAACTTTTTCCTAACACAGGGTGGTATGTGTATGGCATGAACTGCCAGAGAAAGGGGAGGAGGCTGGTACAATTACAACATTTAAAAGGCCTGTGGCTTTGTGGTGACCTTGTTACCATATAATCAGGAAGATTCCTAGGATATACTTCCTGTAACACCTCAGTTGCCCAATTTTCCCACTGACTTTTCAATTACAGTAGGTATCACTCCCACCTGTCATTCAGCTATATTAAACTCTGTGGGACAGAGAATTTCTCTATTGCTCCTCTACCACTGTTCACTGGATTCTCCAGCCTCAACTTATACAATGAGAGACTACTCTTTTGACCATGAATTCCACCATATTACCACCTTTTCTGGCAAAACTCCTGAGTTACATCTTCTCAAAAGAATGACTTGCTCCCGTATCTAAAGTTCTTAATTTCTTTACATACTCCTCTTGGTACACGAGTAAAACTTACCCACACAAGTAAATTCTTTAAAGAGATCTGGGCACTTTCTTACCAAGCAATCCCTGACAAGGCTGTATACTGTTTTGCTGTTCTTTTGTTTTAACTCTGCTTTCATTTATCAGTTTAAGAGATCCCACTGGCTTATCCTTCCCAAATAACACAGTGGGGAACCGGAGGAACACAGCAGGCCAGGCAACAGAGGAACGGGAAAGCTGACGTTTTTGGATCAGGACCCTTCTTCCTGTTCCTCTGATGCTGCCTGGCCTGCTGTGTTCCTCCAGCTCTCTGCATCTGCAGTTCTTGCTATCTCATCCATCTTCCCAGTGCTTTTTTTAAAGACCACCACTGACTTCATGCACCTAACTTTTACAGTGAAAACATCTGAATTTTTTTTAAACATCTCTTCCCCCTTCTTGGATTTCTTTTTTTATCCTGTGGTAAGCTATCTTTGCTATCTTCAACAAGATTTTCTTTTCTCTTATCACCTGAGGATTTCTCTTCCCCCAGTTTCTATCCCTCACAGATAGAAATTGATGTTGGAAGCCAAACTATGATTTATAAATTAACTCAATCATCTGCCATCTCTGCTGCTACACTTGCAGTAGCAACTCTCTGCTGTTCCACATGAGTTTTCACTGCTTCAGGAAGTGATTTTTTGAACTCCTCCAAAGAACATTCTCTCTCTAACAGCGTCACATGTTTGATCTATTTTCAATGCCTTTATCCTTTATTTTGTTTGATCCTTTCAAATTCTATGTACGTTTGATTGGGTTCCTTTCTTAGATTTCTGAAACATTGTCTGTAGCTTCTGACACTAGTTCATATGCCCTTAAAGTGGCTTTTTTCACATCACACTTCCCAGAGACCGCACTCCACCCCCCCCCGCCCCTGAAAATGACACAAACACCTCACTAGCTGTACATACTGAGGTAATTTTAATCAATATCCACATGGCCATTTCATCTCTCTATCCAGTTTCTCAAATGAAAGAGGCTTCTATGTCCTTCCCAAACCTTGGCAATGCTTGGACATATTTAAACTGATCCCCACCAGGCCTTTGGTTATGATTGATTATCACTGTCCTCATTACTACACCCACCATTCACCTTTACCTCCACCATTTCAAGTCGACTTTCCCTTTTCAGTGCCATACTCTGAAGTCCAAATTCTTTCTTTCTGACTTTTTCCTCTCTTCTGTTTTAATTGTAATTCAAGCCATTTCATTTCTTTTTCAGGTTCAAGCTGTTTTTGTTCTTTTGCTCTTTGTTCTGCTCCAATTATTTCTTTTGCCTCTAATTTAAGCTGCTTCATTTTCACATGCATTTTAGCCATTTCCATTTATTCCAATTACATTTCTGATAATTGTGGATGCTGAGCTATTTCTGCAATTAGCTCGCCTTTCCTCACGGATACAGGCAATACCAACTTCAACTTGGCCACCAATTCCGAAGGCCTGCTTTCCTCACCTTCTGTAAACCACCCCAAGTGACTTCTTTCAGGCCAAGGAAAC